AAAATGCTAAGAAGTGATAACGGTGGTGAGTACACAAGTAAGGAACTTGAAGAATGTCTTATAAAACATGATATAAATAATCACCAGCTTACTGTACCATATTGTCCAGCACAAAATGGAGTCAGTGAACGCAAAAACAGGTCTTTGATGGAGATGACAAGATGTCTTTTAGCTGACACAGGTCAACCTCACAGATACTGGGCCGAAGCAATGCTGACTGCAAATTATTTACAGAATCGTATGCCTACAAAACCAAATGCAAAAACTCCATACGAATTGTGGAATAACAAGAAACCCAACCTCTCTCATCTGAAGACTTTCGGGTGCAAGGCTTTTGCTTACATCCATAAATCTAAAAGAGGTAAACTGGATGATACTGCTATAGAAGGAATACTCGTCGGCTAAGACAGCAGAAGTCAAGGCTACAGAATTTTAATTCCTGGAGACAAAATTATAATAAGTCCATCTGTACGATTTATTGAAGACATTGAAACTAATGAGCCTGTAAGCATCTATTTAAACCAAGATGAAGAAAATTCTAAGGAAGAAAGCTCAGAACATGTAGAAATAAAAATAGAAGAACTCGAAGAAGAAGAAATATCAGAACACGAAGAGGAACCTTTGGAACTCAGAAGATCAAACATACTCACAAAAGGTAAACCTCCTGATCGCTACTGATTCCATGCCAAATATGCAATCTCCTCCGAACCCAAAACTTGGACGGAAATTCAAAGTTTGGAAGAAAATGAAAAAAGATAATGGCTAACAGCTGTTCGAGAAGAAATTAATTCACTTGAAGAAAACAATACTTGGGAATTAGTTGATTTACCGAAAGAAAGAAAACCAATAGGATGCAAATGGTCTTTCAAGACAAAGCTCAATGCAGAAGGAAAAATCTGAAAGATACAAAGCCAGATTAGTCGCAAAAGGATTTAGCCAAGAAGTTTGGATTTGACTATGATGAAACCTTTGCTCCTGTAGGTAAAATACATAACGCTTATGGAAACCTTTCCTATGAGCAGCTTCGTATAAAAACATGTCCTGTCAGACATATCGGATGTCAAAACAGCTTTCCTTCATGGTGAACTAGAAGAAATTTACATGACTCAACACGAAGGATACTCAAAAGCTGGAAATGAAAATAAAATTTGCAAGCTGAAGAAATCCATATATGGTTTAAAACAAGCCGCTAGAGCTTGGAATCTGAAAATTGGAAAAATACTTCTAAACATGTCATTTAAACAAAGAAAAGCAGACCCATGCTTGTTTTTCAAAAACATCAATGGAAAATTCACGCATATAATATTATATGTAGATGATATGCTTATAGGAAGTGAAAGAGAAGAAGATGTAATGGAAACAATCCAACAATTGAATGCTAAATTCGAAATCAAAAACCTAGGAGAAGTCACCTACTACCTCGCCATAAACATTGAAAGATTTAAGGATGGAACTTTTGCCATAAACCAAAAGAATAAAATCGAAAAAATAGTTCAAAAGTTTGGACTTCAGAACGAAAAACCAACATATACGCCAATGGAAAGAAATTATTGCAAACTAGAAGCTGAAGATGATAATACAGAATATAGACAAGCAGTAGGGGCATTATTATATACAGTCAAAAGTCGTTAATCCGCACTCGTCGGGACTTCGGCGATTCCGGATTATAGATCATCAGTTTAAATCTGGTAAGATAGCATGCAGAAATTACAAAATTAAAAAAAAATATGAAACCGTAATTTATGAACTAAAGAACAATTATGATCTAAAGGGTATCAAAATTTACAAAAAAAAAAAAAAAAAAAAAAAAAAAAAAAAAGCAGCTTAATATTTATTTGTTTACTTTATTAAACATTTCTTTCAATGTAAGTTGTTTAAGTTGCTTCGTTTTTTATGTGATAATACATTCTCTTTAATTCTATAAACAGACATAATTTCTTGTTCAGTTACAAAAGTTCCGCTGTTCAAGTCCTATAATTGCTGTGTCGAGAATACCGACTAATTTGTCAATCGAAATTTTTTCGTTTTCAATAACTCTGTCACTTTCTTCGCTATCGGAAGCGAATTATAATGACGAGGAATTTGATTTAAATCATATCAAAGACGGAGTACATCGAGATGAAATACTACATTTAGTAAGGAATTATAAGCCAAATAAAATAAAAACATCTGCCCTGAAGATAAGGATAGTGCTGACAGATCAACTTCCAATTCATTGCGCGCCGCGGCGTTAAAGATAAACGAAGTTTAGATAAACAAACGTTAAAGTTTAGATAAACAAAGGATATGCCTTTATCCATTTTTTGCAGCAATTCCACTTTTTTTTTAATGAACTTCGAAACATACTTTCGCTTTGTAGATCTTTTACATATTAATAAATATATATCAGAAATTCTATTTGACATAATCGAAAGTTCAAGCTTACTTTTATAAAATTGCTCTAACAGTCTGCAAAAAATAATAAGCCGATCCAATTCGAAGATTAAGGAACAACGCAATCTGCAACATTAACTGAATTAGATAATTTTAGCTTAGCTTATACGTCCACCGTCCGTTATACATTAAAATGCGCACTCGTAAAAATGTATTTTGCGCTCGCGCACACTCATATGCGCATTTCGCAGCCGTAAAAGGTCTTACGCGCATGCGTCAAACGCTGATGCGCATGTGTTAACGCGGTGCATGCGCAGAAAGTTTGTAGCTTTTGAGGTCCGGATTATAGGTGTCCGAATTAATGACTTTTGACTGTATTGCAACAATCAGCAGATCAGATATAGTATGTGCAGTTAATCTACTGAGTAGAAGAAACGAAAAACCTCAGAAAACAGATTGGAATGCTGTCAAGAAAGTCATTCGATACTTGCACACAACTAAAGACTTTAAGTTGGTCTTTAACAAAATTCAAGAACCTATTCTAACTGCATATTCAGATGCAGATTGGGGAAATGACAGAACAACAAAAAAAAAATCCGTTAGCGGATACATTATTCAAACTAGGAAAATAACTGCATTTCATGGAGCAGGAAAAGTCAAAACTGCATTGCACTATCTTCAACTGAAGCAGAAATATATTGCAGCAGCTAATACAGCAAAAGAAGCACAATGGCTGTTAAATTTGCTTAAAGATCTTAGGACTAAAGCAAAAAAATCTACCGATTACTCTCTATGATGTTAACAAGTCATGTCATCAAAACTATTCACAAACAGAGAGAAAAATAGCTCCAGAACAAAATATATAGACGTCAAATACCACTACTTGCGTGAACTTTCAACAAAACCGGGATCCTGAAGCCTAGACTACTGCAGAAGCTCCGACATGATTGCAGATCCTACTCACCAACCACCACTAGGCAAACCTGTGTTCGAGAAACTTCGAGAATCGCTGCAAATGGCGATCCTGCCCATCAAGTAGGGGTGTTGGTATGCATATAGTGATGGACTGTCGCCAATAGCGCAATAAACTGTATGAACTGGAAACCCTGAAAAAGAGTTAATTGTGTAACACACTTATTCTTCAAACTTACTTTTCTCACTCCTTCAGGAAAGGACAGTGATATGACACTCTCTATAATACAACTTCTTTTTCAATGTATATATTTGGAATACTAACAAATTTTTTAATCTATTTTCATGTATTAATAAAGAATGTGTTTTGTTATCTTACAATTTCCGTCTACACCTATTTTGGATTACAAGTTAATTAGATATGATCTCGCTTGTAATGGCACTGGATACAAGGTAAGAAGAATCATTTTGCTCTCTATTTTTATTAATTTGTTGCGAAATTTTGAGGCTATAAAATGTTTTACAACAAAAGGTACAAACTTTCTGCGCATGCGTCAACGCATGTGCGTAATACCTTTACGCATGCGCATTTCATGTGTACGGACGGTATAACCTAAGCTAAAATTATCTATCTATTTCAGTTAATGTTGCAGATTGCATTGTTCCTTAATCTTCGAATTGGATCCGGCTTATTATTTTTTGCAGACTGTTAGAGCAATTTTATAAAAGTAAGCTTGAACTTTCTATTATGTCAAATAGAATTTCCGATGCTGGATACTGCTAAAGGATCTACAAAGTGAAAGCATGTTTCGATGTCTATCAAACAAAAAGTGGAATTGCTGTGAAAAATGGATAAAGGTATATCCTTTGACTCTCTAACCATTACGAACTCAGCACTATCCTTATCTTCAGGGCAGATGTTTATATTTTATTCGGCTTATAATTCCTTACTAAATGTAGTATTTCATCTCGATGTACTCCGTCTTTGATATGATTTAAATCAAATTCCTCGTCATTATAAATATCACGAATACACATCAAATAGTTTTCTGGTTGCAATTTTCTAATTTTGACTATGTGTAATGTATGCTTTATGCATGCACGCATTGAAAGAAATGTTTAATAAAGTAAATAAATAAATATTAAGCTTTTTTTGTAAATTTAGATACCCTTTAAATGATAATTGCTCTTTATTTCATAAATTATGGTTTCATATTTTTAATTTTATAATTTCTGCATGCCATCTTACCAAATTTAAACTGATGATCTATAATCAGGAAAAACCGATAATCCGGAAGTCGCGAAGAGTCCGGATTAAAGGCTTTTGACTGTATCACTATGAGGCTTTAATAACTCCTGGCAAACCATCAGATAATTGAGTTGCCACAGTCTTCTTTTTTCTCAAATCTACTGCCCTGTGAATATTTCCTTTTTTCCAAGGATGAAAGAGACTCACACATACAGTACCAATTGGCCAAGCAGTTATGACAAAGTAATTTGCTTAAATACCAGCAAATATTTTCTAGAACTGTTGAAAGGATCTTCAGAAATACAAGAAGCTCTACATGGGTTTTGAAGAAAACATATAATAACTATAATTACTTACTTTTCATACTTTCTAGCAGCAGAAATCTTGAAACTTTTTCAAACATTGCAATAGTTAATAAACTGAAAAATTAAACACTTCAAAAAAAATACACAAACAAAAAACATACTTGTGTAAATTCTGGCTGTCGATCAACTTTAGTTCCTTCATTTCTGTAACAGCGAGCAATTTGGAAGTATCTATCCAGTCCTCCAACCATCAACATTTGCTTGAACTATATAAGACAATATTTTAAATTTCATACCAATTTTTATGAAACAACAGTCAGTCAAAGATTCAAGATTCAAAACAAATTAAATGCCTCAAAATTGGCATCAAAATAGTTAAATCCAAAACTAACATATCAGAATGTTTTTAGGCACTTATATACATTTATTATACATATGTAGAAAAATTAATTCCATATCAGTTTAAAACCATCTTATAACATAAAATTTAATCTCATATATTATATTTTGTAAGTAGCAAAAACATATCATCACTTTTGGAAAAAAAAAAAAAAAAAAAAAAGATAATCTCTTTCAATTTCATTAAAGAATAATATGTTCATTTATTCATAAATTTTATTTAAAAAATCTTTCACTAAAGAAATGTTACATGCATTAGAACTTAAAAAATGAAATTTTATGACTAAAATGATGAGCCATCAAATATTCAGTTATGCAGACTATGCTTTACATCTTCCCTCTTGTATGTTAACTAAACAAATTTTGGGGCATAACTTTTTTTTTTTTTTTTTTTTAAATTTTCACTTCATCTTTTTCTTAGCACATATTTAACTTTTAGTACAGTCCTATGAAGAAGGAAAAATATCACGATAGAAATTTCCACTTTTAATGAAACTACATTCACAGGCAAGGAAATAATTACAATTTCAAGGCCCCAGGATAGTTAACATCTTAATGCTACAATTACTAAGCTGTTTCCCCCCTCAGCTTTGATGCATGCTATATAAATAGGTTTTACCAGATGTTCTTTAATATCCTGAGCATCTAATGGCTTAACATGTTCTATACATATGTTCAACAGGCAAAATATCTGTTAACCTTGCTGGCCAAGAAATAGTTAACCTTCCAGCATGTGCGCATCATATATTTTATGACATCTGTTATTTTACCGTTTTGGGCACGAAAAATGACAGAAATAAGTGAATATTGATAATCAATTTGTTAAAACATAAAATATTAACCTTATTATTGCAAAATACAAATAATATCACATTCAAATAATAGTAAATTATTTTTAAATGCTTATGTTAGTCAGGTGGAAAAGCAATGAAGTATTTTTATATAGAAATTTAAAAATTTATTTTTTAATAACTATATTTTAAAATCTAAGCTAGTTTGAATATTTATCTGTCCTACACTGTTGATTTATCATTGAATCGAAGACAGCTTGTCTGAAATAAAAATCTCTTGCAGCTCATCACAGCTCATTACTTGAGAATAAGTCTTTTGCATTTACATGGTTCCTTTTTTACTTCCTTGTACGAAGTAAAAAGGAAGTATTGTAATCGCGAAATGGTATGGTAAACAAAGTGAATTTTAAAGAATGCATTTATTCTATTGTGGTTTATGCGCTGTCGGCGAAATAGATTTAATTCAATCCAATAAGTTTAAATGAAATGCAAGAAAAAATGTGTATAATTTAATATTCCGTACAAGGAAGTTATGTGGTGTACACATCAGATTTTTTATTCCCCTGATATATAACAATCTAAAGTATGCCATCATTTTCACTCAGGTAACAGTGCAGTCTCTATCTCTTGAGTTTTTTGCCTTTTAGTAAACTTATGTATTTATTTGTGCATTCCACAATTTCATCAAACATATTTATATCAAGTATTTTAAAAAATGTTTCCATTTCACCCTTTATATACTTAGCATGGTGTTTTAGGCCAGGTAACACTCACAATATTCATCTTATTCGTCTTTGAGCAGTTTGCATACTTCTGTTTCTGCCACTTAGAAGATTTATCCTTACTAACATAGAATATATCATCATCATTCCTTTTTTTATATCATTATTACTATCATCATTTGAAATTTATTGTTCAGATTCAGTGCTGATATTATTTATCTCTATATTTTCCTCACTCAGATTGCTACTATTCTCACATCCAAATTTTTTTTTTTTTTGTCTTTTTTTTCTTCATCAGATAATTCTTGAAGAATGCGAGCAAAATCAGCTGGTTGCACATAATTTTTTGCCATGAAAACCGATATAAAATTATAGCTGAATTTATAAAAATTAAAATAATACACATCAATTTATAACACAAAATTACAAAATATTTGACAAAAAAAGCATTTTCCAAATTTCACTCGCGACCACATGCGTGTCGTAACTTTTACGATGAAGGTGCCACGTAGTGCAAAAGCCCAGTAAAAAAAACAAAAAAGTCATATGACTTCCTGTTGGCACATTCCATGATGTGGGGAAGTGTTGAAAGGAGGAAACGACATTCAGACATCTCAGCTGCGATTTGCGAAAAGTCTCGAATTTGTCGTAAACTTTGTGAAAAGCGCGTATGCTGGAAGGTTAAAATAGCATAGAGACACTCCAGAGATGCATCAGCCAAATGAAGCTAAAAGAACAAAGCTTCTTGAAAAGTGATCCCAAAGTAATATGTCATGAATAATAATGTAATTGGTTACAGTATCTTAGTAATATACTGCTCAGTATTACATTTTAGAGTTGTTTGCATGACCAGTAAGGGAAGCCTGCTATCATGAGATAGCATTACACCTGGAGTATTAGCCGTGTACCTCTATAAACTAGAGAAAGGACATACTCTGGTAGGATTCTGTTATCTTTGACAGTGCTGGTCCAACTTCCTCTTTACTTGATTGTGATGACCTTTGGCCTCAAAAATGAAGTAGAATTCATCACTGAATATAAGCAGATGCCAAATAGCAGTCAAACATGATAATCAGGCATGGGATCATTACAAACAATGTTGATGATGTTGGAATGATAAAAGCAGATGTCACTGTCTTAGCCAAGTGTAATGAAAAGATAGAAGGTACTACAGGTGGTATGGAAGAAGTTAGAGTAAGTTGCATTATAAACAATATTACACTAAAGCAATTAGAGCTTTAGTTATCCCTTCCTTATACCTACCATATCATAACATCATATTCAACTTCACTCTTTGCAGACCATTAACAACTTTGCACTGCTTCTTCAGAAAACTATTTTATTAGTTAATGTAATTATTAAAATGTTAAGACTATATAAACATAACACACAGAACATTTAAATGCAATACCCGGCATTGAAATTGCAACACCAAGAAGGAGTGTCCCAAAAATTATACAAATTTCAGGATAGATGCACATTACCGAGTTATGTGAATGATGTGAAATGTGCAGCTCTTCAGCACATGTTGAAGAAGATGTAATGGAACGAACCTGCAGAATGTTCAATTTTCATGCCATTATTTCTGCTAGGGAAATCATCGTAGAAAATTTGTCCTTGTCTCAGTGGACCATATAGTAGCAGAAAATGCAAAGCCATCATCAACGGAGGCAGTTCCAGCAGACAGATGATTTTACAAGGGGCATGGTGATCAGACTGAGATGGATAGGTTTGATCATAAGCCAAATCTCAGCTGACACATACCTGGAAGCATCCACAGTGCACCTGCTATGGCGACAATGGTTGCAACAAGGAAATGTGGCAAGTTTGAGAGGAGCCAGTACAGCCAGAGTGACGTCAGCATGTATAGATCGATGCATTCACTGATAAGTAGTGGCGCACCTGCAAGCCACTTCTATCTCCTTTCTGCAGCATATTCAAGACACCCTGGATGTTCCTATATTGACCAGCACAATTTGCTGTTGATTGATGGCTGGTGGCTATTAAGAAGACTGCCATAAACACCAACATCTGCAATGGTGCTGGGCTCGAGCAATGTGGCATGGCATTACATGTTCTGTGATGAGTCACGCTTCTATTTCGGCAATGATAGTCACCACATATGAGTGTGCCTCCGATGTGGAGACAGATCCAGTTCAGCAGCAATTGTGGAACACCTCACCACACGACATCATGGTTTGGGCACATTTGCATATGATTCCAGGTCACCTCTAGTTTGTATTCAAGGGTCTGTGATGGCCCAACGATATGTGGACGATGTGCTATGGCCAGTGATACTCTCCTACCTTCAGGGAGTACCCAGTGCCCTTTATCAGCAGGATAAAGCCCAACCACGCACTGCTTGCATAAGCCAATGTATTGTGCAAGATTTACAGATGCTTACCTGGCCACTGTTCTTTTATGATCTCTCAGCAATCGAACACATTTGGGATGCGATTGGATGCCATTTACAGACCCCTGCTATTGCCACTTTCAGAAGACAAACTGTGGAAAATGGTTGATGGAATGGAGAGCAGTTCTTAAGGACACCATCTGTAGTCTCACTGACTCTGCACCTAGACCTGTTGATTGGTGTTTTCCTGTCCAAGGTGGTCCTACAACCTACTGAGATGATGCTGTTCTTGTTCTGTATTATGCATATCATTTTGAAATAAGAATCACTTATTGTTCATTGCTGTCTTTCTCTAATCTGCTGAATTTCATCATTTTTTGGTCACTCCTTCTTGGTGTTGCATTTTCAATGTTGAAAGTGTAATTTTATACACATTGTTAAGAATAAAGAAGAAATAAGAAAAATGATGCTCCGCAGAAATATATAAAAAAAGTTACAACTTTTTGAACATTTCTTACAAAAACAACATCTTAACAGTTGGATAAAATTTTTAATATGTGGCTTTCCATTTCTCCATACATAAATATGATTTACCTGTTGAGGACTCTGTGTCAGAGCATAGACATTTCCAGGAAATTTAGTTGGAACTATAAATTCTTTAGCACCCTAGTAAAGAAAACAAGCATTATTTCTTGAATTTTATGAAAATCCTTCTTCAGTCAGCATAATGAAAAAATTTAAAACCTACTGAAAGTTACTTGTCATACATACAATATTGATACACATATACTCACACACACACACAATAGTCCTTTGACAGTAATGAATTCAACAGCAACAATAAACATATAATCCTCTTAATTTTTTGCAACATGCAGACATCAAGTTAAATCTCTTTTCATTATTAAAATAATCTCTTTCAAAAGAATTATTGTTTAATCAATGTTTATTCTGAAAGAGAATTATAATAGATATGCTGCCAAATTAGAAATTTTCAGAATTATATTAGCTACTTTGATTATTATTACCAATCTTAAGATGAAATTTAAATATAATGCCTTTCACATATGACTGGATATTAAATAAATATTACAATTATTAACATATTATTAAATTAACATTAATTTATTAATATTAATTAATCAATAAATTATTAAATCAACATTACTTACTTATTATTATTATGCAATTAATATAAATTAATTCATTCGTCAACGCATGAGCATATACGTTTACACATGCGCATAATACCTTTACGCATGCACATATGCGTGTACACATGCATGTTTAATGTGTAACGGACAGTATAAGCTAAGCTAAAATTATCTAATTATCTATTTCAGTTAATGTTGCTGATTGCGCTGTTCCTGAATCTTCGAATTGGATCCGGCTTATTATTTGTTGCAGACTTTTAGAGCAATTTTATAAAAGTAAGCTTAAACTTTCGATTATGTCAAATAGAATTTCTAATGCTGGATACTGCCAAAGGATCTACAAAGCGAAAGCATGTTTCGATGTCCATCAAACAAAAAGTGGAATTACTGCAAAAAATGGATAAAGGCATATCCTTTGTTTCTCTAACCATTCCGAAATCTGTTTATCAATTTCCCGCTGCTCTGCGGGGGGAACGTCGCGGCAGGCAATGAACTGGAAGTTGATCTGTCAGCACTATCGTTATCTTCAGGGCAGATGTTTTTATTTTATTCAGATTATAATCCCTTACTAAATGTAGTATTTCATCTTGATGTACTCTGTCTTTGATATGATTTAAATCAAATTCCTCGTCATTATAAATATCCCGAATACGCATCAAATAGTTTTCTGGTTGCAATTTTCTAATTTCGACTAAGCGTAATGTATGCTTTACGCATGCACGCATTAAAAGAAATGTTTAATAAAGTAAACAAATACAGTCAAAAGTCGTTAATTCGGACACCCATATCGGAATGATCTATAATCCGGACCTCAAAAGCTAAAATTTTTCTGCGCATTGCGCCGCATTGACGCATGCCACAGGCGTTTGAATGTTGCGCCCAAGACATTTACGGGACTGCGCATGTGCGTCTGCACAAGTGCAGAATACGTTTTCGCGTTGTGCGTTTAATGTATAACGGACGGTATATAGCTAAAAATTATCTAATTATCTTATTTCAGTTAATGTTGATGATTGCGTGTTCCTTAATCTTCGAATTGGATCCGGGCTTATTATTTTTTGCAGATCTTAAAGAGCAATTTTCTAAAAGTAAGCTTGAACTTTCGATTATGTCAAAATAGAATTTCCGATGCTGGAGCTCCCAAAGGATCTAGAAAACAAAAGTATGTTTCGATGTCCATCAAACAAAAAACGAATTGATACAAAAAAAAAATGGATAAAGGCATATTCTTTGTTTATCTAACCGTTCCGAAATCTGTTTATCAATTTCAGGCTGCTCTGCGCCGGGGGGGGGGACGTCGCGGCGCGCAACGAACTGGAAGTTGATTTGTCAACACTATCGTTATCTTCAGAGCAGATGTTTTTATTTTATTCGGCTTATAATTCCTTACTAAATGTAGTATTTAATTTCGATGTACTCTGTCTTTGATATGATTTAAATCAAATTCCTCGTCATTATAAATACCACGAATACAAATCAAATAGTTTTCTGGTTGCAATTTTCTAATTTCGGCTATGCGTAAGGTATGCTTTACGCATCCGCGCGTTGAAAGAAATGTTTAATAAAGTAAACAAATAAATATTAGGCTTCTTTTTTGGTAAATTTTGATACCCTTTAGATCATAATTGCTCATTATTTTACAAATTACGGTTTCATATTTTTAATTTTATAATTTCTGCATGCCATCTTACCAGATTTAAACTGATGATCTATAATCCGGAAAAATCGATAATCAGGAATCACCGAAGTCCCGACGAGTCTGGATTAAAGACTTTTGACTGTATTATCTAACTATATTATATATATATTTTAATGAAGAGAAATATGCCCTAGACCATGAATCATGAACATCTCACATCATGAAAATTCGTTCATGAACATACTATTTGGGGAAAAAAGCCTCAGATCGTAAACACTCAAATCAGCAACAAATGATTTTCAAAGATGCTTTGAGATAACCTCTAACATACAATTAACAATTAGAGACTTTTAGAAACCTTATTTTTATGTTTTGATCACTTAACTCACACTAACAAAGGCAGGCAGCAAATGATTTACAGAACCATAAATTCAACCTAGAAGAAATTAGGACTCAATTGTGTTTCTTTCACATTGAGGAATTTTTTTACTTTGCTGCTTGTCACTTTGTTTCTCTAGGAAAAGCCATGAACTTGGAAGTCTATGGTAAAGTGAAGGAGTTACCGAAAAATTATAAAAATCATTTCAAGAAAAAAGAACTTCAGAGGCAGCAACAAAAAGTGATTCTGGACTAAATGTTGGACTAAATTCTGAGTTGAGAAAAGGAAGGAAGAGGAGGAAGGAAGGTAAAACGATCTATTTATGCAAAATGGAACATTTTCATGTAGCATTATCAGCTTGATAAAACAGTAGTAAGGTATAAGCAGTTTCAGAGCCATCTCTCATTTTAGAAACATTTTAAAACATAGACAACAACAAATCACAATGGACAAATTTTGAGTAAAACAGAGGCTCAATGAATCTTTAACAGACAGTGTCTTATTAGGAGTGCTAGGAGGTTAAAAATACCCTAGAAAGGCAGTTTTTACAGAAGGGAACTCTTCATGCAAACAATAACATTTCCTCTTCGCCCCTTTCCATCTATGTTATCTGCTCTCCTTGATACAGTAGAATAAAATAAAATAAAATTTTTGTCTTATTTTACCTGCTTAACATCGGATTTACCTTATTTTTTTTTGGGGGGGGGGAAGAGGAACTGTTGTAAAGCGTAAACAAGCAATAATTTGTTGCCCACAAGTGGATTTAATTTTAAATTTCTGTGGGAAAAATAGTTTTGATTTATGAACATTTGGATGACAAATTATACTCATAAAATATAGTTTCACTGCATTTCAACACACCTTAGTAAGTACTTACATTCTAGTAACACAGAAATGGATTTTACAACTTAAGATATTTTATGTTAATTAGCCTATTTTTATAATTTGGATCTTCACTAGAACTTCTTTACATTAGCCCTCACCAAAATGGAAATAATAAAGAGTATTTAAGGCAAGGGTTTTGAATATTTTAGAGAAAGAGCTTTTAGCAGACACTAACATCTTTGTTTTCTCTCATTAGTTCTGCCAGTTAGTGTATTTATTATTGGAATTAGCCATTTTGCTAGATCATACCATTACTAGTTTTTCAGCTTAATTAAGAAAATCTGGGTAGTCCCAGACTACGAATCCATTTCAGACTGTATTTTCAGTTTCCTATTTAATACCTCCAAGTCGTAGAGTTTGATTATAGGCATAAACTGTACCTTCTGTTACATTCAAGCTTTAACAAAAAGGTTTATTTAAAACCTTTACAAGACTGTCACATTTCCACAGATAGAGCTGGCAGTCTTAATAGTGTCTGAAGGACAATTAAGTGGTATTACACAAAGTACTCTATGACATTTTCAGCAACACGCCATGTAATTAAATAATATTCTATGCAATATTCTATAACATTAAAAAAATTTTGTAACTCTTCCTTAAAAGCAATACTTTCCCTTAATAATATACTATTAGCACTGACCCCAAATTTTTCATGGTCTGCCTCATTATGAGGCAAACCATAAAAAATTTGAAAGTTTCATGAGACAATGAAAGTTTTAAAACAGTTAGGATCAAATAAAAGAATTGAATGAACAAGATACAGTTCCTTCCCTATGTAATCAAAAATACTTACTAACCCTGAGTAATGTAAGGTTTAAAATTCTGCACAAGTATCATGAAATGAAAGGTGTACATTTTATATTAAAACTTCACCACATGTTTGTAAGCAGGATTTTCCTTTTTTGTTTCATTATTAAGATAGTATTGTGTTGTAATTATTGTGTTTTCAATAATATTATAATATGTAGTATTAAGAGACTAGTGTGTTGTAATACAAAATACAAAAATGCAGTACATGATAGAACTACACCCTTTACAACATTTGTTACACAGTACTATGGATGCTGACTGAATTATGTTTGAAGTTTGAAACATCTGAATAACTTTAAATCTTAATGTATTTTTTAAAATCTTTTTATATAATAAATGATACACAGGATGCCCTGAAATTATGCAATTATCATAAAATTATGAACTCTAATGAAGCATGTATAAAATCAAAATAAATGCAAGGAAGGTTTCACAACATTTCATATAATCTTTTCAGGTTTTAAATGCCCCACTCTGCAAAGATATTAGAATCACAAATGTTTATGCCCTGCTCAAAATTTGAACCCGGATCCAATAGTATGGGAATCCTATGCTAACACACCTATCCTATTCTAATAATAGTACATCTAGGCTAACATCATACTGTTTCAGAAAATGAGACCCCCAATCTGTATGGCTATTTAACCTATAATTTTTGTTTAAAATTTTTTAAACTTCTTTAATCCTGTTATCTGATACTGAATTGGATTACCATTATCATTCACTCTATTTCCATTTAAAACTGTCTTCTATCATGGTATCCTTTTTTAATTTCCATACGAATATCTACACCCCCCAC